ATTCCAGGCCAGCCTTACTTTCTGAGCACCACCGGGCCCAGGTGGGTTTCTTCAGGAATGGTCGTACCACTGCGTCCTAAAGAACAGCAGGAACCGCACCTTCATGCAGGGGTGCTCCAGCCCCCCTTGGCATGCTCTGATCAGCAAGGATTGAGAAGCCACATGTGGCCAGGTGAGCCACTGCAAACACCTTGGCCAGGTCATCACTGCACCGCTACTGAAACTGGTCCTGCCAAATTGGGCAGATGGGGCATCAACGCAGACCTGTGCTGGCCGCAGCATCGAGTTCACTGCCAGGGAAATCAATTTTGTCTTCAAGGTGTGATGCAGAAAGGTTGCAGCAGGCTTTAGAGCAGGGGTGTCCAGCCCACGGCCCATGGCCCGCGGCCCGCACGTGGCCCAGGATGGCTATGAATGCGGCCCAACACAAAATTGTACACTTACTTAAAATGTTATGAGATTTTTTTGAGGTCTCTTTTGTAACTCAATTGTGTGGTTCTCGAGCATGAACTTTGTGAAAGACAACGCTGTGTTGCAATTCTACGTAAAAGAAGCATATGTATGCTCTTGCTATTTGAACGCATGCATGGCTCCAGTTTTATGGCAGAGTGTGGCTTCCATTTGTGAGCAACTGTTTTCAAGAATGAAGCATGCTAAGAGTAAAATTAGAACCAAAATATCTGATGAGCACCTTGAGAACTCACCGAGAATTGCAACTACTTCCATTCAACCACACACTAAAGCATTAGTTTCTCAGATAGTGTTAAATATCCCACTAGTTTTATGTGGCCCTCTTTTCCTTTCCTTTTATAATAAAAATACTCAAAAATCAATGAAGTTTTATTACTTAAATAAGTTTACTTTCTATATTAAGGATTGAAAAATTGGGACCTGCTCAATGATTTTAGAAGACTCTCCAAACAAGGCACTGCATAATTAGGAATTTTATGCGAAGACTTTTTTGTTTAGCTGTGGTAGTGATCACAAATGTTATGCATACACCTTTTTTTTTTTTTTTTTGGCTCATCAGTTTTCGTCAGTGTTTGTGTATTTCATGTGCAGCCCAAGACAATCCTTCTTCCAATGCAGCCCAGAGACGCGAAAAAGGTTGGACACGCCTGCTTTCGAGGGAGCCAGAGCCCCACCTGCTGGGGAGTCTTAGCAGATCCCAGACTACCTGAAGGAGCTCTTCTAGATGGCTGCTCATGGACACAATGGAAGCAGTAAAGCAAAGTGTCTTTCTTGGTTACAGGGCCACATAATAGGCTAATAGGCAACACTATGTCCTCTGGATCATGCTTGGCCTATTATTATTATTATTATTAATATTAATATTATTATTATTGCTACTACTACTATTACATCCCACCTATTCCCATTGATTGGGACTCAAGGCAGGTTACAATACTGAAATTCACATAATGGGAGCATTAAAATATATGAAGGTTAAAAGCAGAATTAGATTAAGTAGATCGTAAAAATGGAACAGATCCCCAGATTCAGGACTTCATTCACCTTCACGTGCAGCTGTATGCCATTCGTGCTCCAGCCAATACCCAGCCAGTTCCACTGATCTCAGCTGCCTGGGATGCTGGCTGGGCCAGGCTCCATGAATGGCTCTCCCCACCCCACAGCGAACCTTGGGCCTCTGCTGGGTCACCACCGAACTCCCGCAGTCTCCCGGGGTGATCGGCCTGGATGCTGCCGCTGTTGATCACCCTGAGTGCTGCTCGAGCAGAAAGAGGATGGACACAAGTCCATGGAGAGCCAGTGTGGTGTAGTGGTTAAGAGCACGGGACTGGGACTCGACGACCTGGGTTCGAGTCCCCGCTCAGCCACGGAGCCAACTGGGTGACTTTGGGCCAGTCACAGACTCTCAGCCCAACCTACCTCACAGGGTTGTTGTTGTGGGGAGAAGATGGAGGAGGAGAATGATGTAAGCTGCCTTGAGCCCTTTGTAGGAAAAAGGCAGGATATAAATCGGAAAATAAATAAATAAATAAATAAAGTCACGTCACAGTGCCCAGTGCTTTTAAACCACAGAGGGGTTTTACTGCTACCAATCCGAAGGCGTTTCTGTAAGGGAATTCCACCTTACCTTCCTCTGTGGACTTTTTTTTTTTAATGCAACCAAACAAAAAAGATGGCAGAAGTGTGGGAGAAGCCAGAGAGTTAGAAACGGACTGACCATATAATCTCACCACTTGCGAAATCCTGTGAGCAGGGCTGGGTGGCACCATGATAAAAGCCCCATCTGGAAAAGCACAGAAAGGTGTCATGCTGGAAAGAGAGGCACGGGGGCAGGGCCACCACAAAGCAGCTGCACCATGGGGCTGCTGCCACGGAAGTACGCAAGTGCGAGAGCGCCTTCGTGGCCTCACAGCCAGAGCTTTCGGAGCAAAGCCCAGCCGCCGTGCATTGCGAGGCTGAAAGCAATGCCTACTGATGGGTCAGGGTTTGTACCAAATGATGTGAATTGAAATGTTTTCCCAGGATAAATAATGCACAAACCTTTACGCAAAGGGAAAGTGACAGCCAGCTCTGTAAATAAAAGCACTTAGTCGCCAGTAAGGAGCAGCAAAGTGGAGGCAGTCTTTGCTAATCAGCAGAAACAGGATTTCTCTTTCACACACGCGTGTGCTGGAGCCATCGTGCCCCCTTAATGTAAAGGACAGAACTGGCCGGGCCAGGAAGAGCCGGCTTGCACAAGGCTCCGTTGGAATGAATATTCAATGGGGGCTTGCGCAGGAGAGCTTTCTGCTGGATTGTGCACTAAAGCTGCATCTCATGGACAAAACCGTCATCCCGAATACCATTTCCAGCAAAGTTTCTGCCACTCCTTTGATCTAATTGCTTCTGACAATGTGAACTGTGGTATTTAAGATCCTTCAAGAAAATCTACTGTTCTGTTGTGAAAGCACAATAACAAGATCGGAAGTGGTGCGCACGTAAGTGGCACAAACCTCCATGAAGATAAGTGCTTTCTTACGGAGTACTTGGGATTTTTGCACTCCCTCAGCATTATATCCACTCTGCGGCTTACTGCTTGTCTGCCTCCTAACCCCAATCCGAAGCTTGCATTGTTGACCAGTCCCTGCTGCTTCCACCCTGTGCCAAAATGCTAGTGTTCAATAGTAGAGTGAGGCTTTCTGGAACAGCTTTAATGCAGCTGGGGGAGTTGACACGCAGACCTCCTTGGCCCCAAGTATTTGTGGCCAAGTAGAAAGAACAAGATGGCAGCCATTCAGTCTAGGGCTCCCCAGTCTTTACAGACCCCAAGGCCCATTTGGGGACTTGAGAAACTATTGTGGGTGCCACCACAAAATGGCTAATGATTGGAGCACTGATTTGGCATCTAACTGTCACATCTTTGGCTCGTGGGCTGTGACTGATTCAGCAAAAGCTCTTGTGTGATGTCTACAGCAACATCTGTTCACTATAGGATTGTCCTATCCAGTTGATTGCTGGTAGCACAAAGTAGCTAATGCTCCTTTTAATCATATATGCTGGCAAAGTCCAGTAGAAGCTCCCTTTCGAGAGCGAACACATAAATTATTTACCCAGATAAATTTTGTACTGGAACAGTCTTTAATATTCACACACGTACACGCTTGTTCAAATTATTCACCTGCAGCACAGATGCTTACCAATGGAGGGGGACTCTCTGTGCCCTTTTGACAGCTAAAAGACTGACCTTACAACATTGGAAGGATAAACACCACCTCCTCTCATGAAATGGACAGATGGCTTCACAGTATTAGAACATACAGAAGCCTCTTTCAAATGGATACTTATCTAGATATTTGGTCTGCTTTTGCTAAAGCCAACACACAGTTTCTAGGAAGCTGCATACCTTTCAGGTGTATTCCCTTCTAGAGATGTATACTAATCCATGTACATATTTAAAAAGCAGACCTATAAATGCACCTTAAGCATTTTGCAACTGCAAGTGCTGGGGTGTACAACACAACTGCTGCTATCACAATTGTTGGGCTCCTGGTCCTACTAACCATCGAAACTTCAGGATCTTCCCTTTCCTTTCCCACTCAGCTCCATTTTAGTCCAACTTATTTTTTGGCTTGGCTTGAGGGACTAGCAAAGGATGGTGATTTTGAATTCTCCTTTCAACGAAGGATGTACCATGAAGAAAAAAGCCCAAACCAGTACATACAATACCCTTTGCCACAAAATGCAGAGTTCCTGTATTTATTTGGTATAATTCTTATTGGCTAGGTTTTCCAAATTGCTATATTTTGATCTGGGGAAAAACTACTCAGGAATCCTCCGGTTCTGTTTGCAGACTGCTTTATCGAGCATTTGTTTTACTTTTGTGTGTGTGTTAATCCCCTCTACTACCTTGGGATAGCATTGGCAAAGAAGGAAAAAATCATACGAGGCATGAAACATTAAACCCGCATCTTTTCTGATCGAGAAATCACAGGGAATTTTAAAGATGCTCTAGCTATTTTTGAACAGATTTTAAACACCCCCCTTAGCACCCCTGTTCTATTCTCCCTTCCTTTCCTCCCCTTAAAAGGCATTAATATTCTAATATATGCTATTATTGTGCTGTGTGGCATTTGGCTGCTAAGTTACAGACAAAGCGAACACCCTTGTCGGGCAGCATTTGAAATTATTCCATTCTGCATCCGGTGTGAGGACAAGCGACCTCTGGCTATACAATGTGCAACCATGTGACTGCCTTGCTCAAAATGTGCAGGCTTCAGAATTCCACAGATTTAGCAGTCACCCATCTGCGAGTGAAAAGAAATAAAATTCTCCCCTCGCTTGCCGTTTTCTTGCTAGGATCACCCAAATTTGCCTTTGTGTGAGCACGCCATGCAATGTGGTCCCTTAAAAACCCATCATACCAATCAGCAGGTTTAACTGTCAAGCGAGCTGATATAAGGTCCCTTTGAATTACTGAGTGAGGAATATTCTTTCTGCCAGGTCCTGTCCCCTGTAGGCACTCTAGAAAAGTATTATAGGGCAGTTCTTACCTTGGGAATTAGCCTGCAAGACCCCAATGCTGTCATCAAACTGCATAGACTTGATGTTGAGTGATGCCAAGATGCATTCCTTGTCCTGCAGCGAAGTATCATCAATATTATTCTGATTGGCTGACAGGATTACGCACATGTCGCAGAGGTTGATGTTGACAGCCCTTAAATCAGCTCGACTTAATGGTGTGCCCTTCGGCAGAGAGAGGGGAAGAGAGAGACAGAGAGAGGGAATAAAGGGGGGCGCGGAAAAAACAAATTAAATACTGAGAAGGAGCTTTGGGAAATTATTTAACAAGTATCCTTTTTATGCTCTGACATTAAGCTGGTCTAACTATGTGCCAGGGAATAGGAGAAATGTGCTAATCTAAAGGGTAGTTGGTGCTGATGGCAGCGTTTTAGCGTTGAGTCTCAATACTCAGTCAAGCTATTACTAGCAAACAAGGAGCAGGAAGGATGCCAGCTCCATGCAGCTGCATCTTACATCTTGTCTGCGACCCAGAATCTGCTTGAGTCCAGCCACCCTCGTGTGGCATGTTCTGGCTTTCGGGGCACCGGAAAGGGTGCCTTGAAATAGCTGTCATTTATGGGGCTGTGGAGGCCTTGGGCAAGATTTAAGCAGAGGTGCTTTGTAGGCCCAAATGAAATCCTAGATGAAGCAAACAACTCTCCCCTGCCAAACCGTGAAAGTGTAAAAAAAGTTCATTCTGCTGAAACAAATCATTATTTAAAACAGTTGTGATTGAGACCTTTCAAAGGGAAACCGAAGGCTCTTTGACTGCTGTGTTTGTGCCTATGGGGCAAAGTTGCAACATGCCGGGATGCACTTATAGGGTGGGGTACAGCTGGCCTCTCCGGGGAATGGAGGGATGCTCGAAATGTGATCTTCCAGGTGAAGGTCACCCAAGCTGCTGCTCCGCGCAGCCAGCATCACTGGGGAAAGGGCCTTACCCCACAGCATGGCCAACGCAGTCCAGGCAGCCACTGCAATGGACTAGCACTGGTGCATCAAGGCTTCCCAAATGTGCCTGCCATTTGGAGCACACCAACAGGGAAGTATTTTGGGGAGCTCCATTCAGGGGGGCTCCTGATCCTACATGTGTAGCATGCACACGCTTCCCAGACTTCCTCTGACGTCACCGACAGTGTGCAAATATTGCCTGGGTGTGCATCAGTGCCCAGCATCACAACCCCAGGGGGCCTGGCCCTCACCTTGGGGAGACGGCATCACTGAGAGAGGCCTGGATAATCCCCAGCAATTTTCTTGTGGTTTGTGACAAGAGAGCGACTCATGAGAGCACTGCAGCTTTAAGAATTAATATGAAGCACCCTGAGCGGACATGTATTTCACACTCCAGGCTAGGTTTAAAGCCTTGTTACTTTTAGGAGGAAAGGGAAAAGATTAATGCAAAGCATTTGATGTGGAAATCATTGCAATTCTCTTGCTGCATTGCACCTTGGCTGCTGGATGTAAGCAGCAACCTAACAGAAATTGCACTGTAGTTAGCAGTGAGGCATTAATGGTGACTCCATGGAGTAAAGAATCGGGGCCCGTTCAATTGTGGACTCATTGTGTTACGAAGCAATTCATATCATCTGACTATCTTCCCCCTTAAAAAGATGAAACGGCACTGTCAGGCTGTTAAATAAAGCAAAGCCAGCAGGCTAGACTTTTGAAGGTCTTTATGGATGCAGATAGATGAGGTAGATAGACAAATAATACAAAATGTTTTCTAAGGTTTCACAGGCATAAATAATGCCATAAGTAATGACTGTCATGCTGTCAGAAAAAATCACAACATCAAAATTGGCTGCATGCAGGGCACTCAAGCAAGTGTTCAATAGATAACATCGCTAACATATTTGATAGCAGCTGAAATTCATCCTTGACGAGGGACTGAGCACGTCGGCAAATTTCTTCTAATAAGGTCTCCCAGGGTTTAGTTTTCACACATACAACAAACAGGGAAAAAGCCAAGTCCTGAGGCCTATAACCAGATAAGCGTCAAACAAGGCATCTCAAGATCAAAGCCGGAGTGGTTCTGTTCACTTGAAAAGGAAGGAAGGAAGGAAGGAAGGAAGGAAGGAAGGAAGGCAGGCAGGCAGGCAGGCAGGCAGGCAGGCAGGCAGGCAGGCAGGCAGGCAGATGGACAGAGAGAGAGAGAGACACACACACAGGTGGAAAACAATGGCGGCTTTACACTTACAGGCAAGATGGAGACTTTGGGGAAGTTATGCATCGTCTCCCATTCCCTCCTCAGGTATTCCAGGGAGCCCACAAAAACAATGTGCTTGAGTTCGTGGTAGTGAAAGTTACTGGCCCTTAAGGGCATCACAAAGTTTCTCAGTCCGATGAGTGCTGATGTCACATCCCCAAAGATGCAAACGACCACGTGGCCACTTAACACAGTCATGGCTGCCTCACTTCGAGTCTGGAAAAGCAGGACACACATTCAGGAACAAGGGTGATGAGTGGGAAAAGATGCCTTTAGAAACCCCTGCATCAAACCTCTGTGTTGTACAGACATGCTCACACCAGCCCTTTATGACTGCACGTATGTTTTAGCAACACGGTGGATTGCCAGGCTGCTGTATGGGACACGGGGAGCGTGTTTCCTGACCAAGCAGTATCCAGCACTGTCATGCTGTGAAGTATCTGAGGGCTGGTCCTGAAACTACCCAGCTGCTCTGTCCTTGGAATCACGCTAATCCAAAAACCTTGCTAGCAGGGCTAGAGGGACAGTGGCTATTCAATATGCAGTTTTCCAGGATAGCCAGATGAAGGAATTATTCCAAAAAGGGGGCCCTTGATGGAAAAGGAAATGTCTGAATATAAATCCTATGAATTAAGCTTCAGGTTTAATGCATGATTTATTGCTGGCGGTCTGCTATTCTATGGAAATTGATGGTCCATTGCTGCGGTACTAACCTATCACATTGATCTCTGTTATCTTGAATGAGCGGCACTCGACAGGAAGGAATGGGGACAGCAAACGAGCAGTTTGGCCCAAGTCACCTGCCTTTACACTGAGCAATGAGTTGTGGCATGTGTGTGCACATGTGTGTGCACATGTGTGCAAGCATCTGTTTGTGTGCATGCAGTACACATACCTAGATTTCTGTGTGTCATTCACTGCATCCACATATTTGCATTGCTTACAGGCATGGAGAGCAAAGCTAAATTGATCGTTTCAGTCTCAGTCACCGCCAGAAAAATGGTACTGATAATAATTTCAATTATTAGACACTCCTTGAAATCCCTGAAGAAGTAGCTTTTGCAGACCTAAGTTAATCCTAGGTAACCAAGGTCACACCAAACATGACCATTTGACTAACATTAAGTACTCTGTTCTACCATCTCACCCACCCCTGCCCTTTCCAAGACTTAACCCCACAATCACCATTCCAAGCTGTAAACAAGTTTTATTGCCAATTTAGGTGCAATCCTCAGACAAGGATCCTGAATCCTGAGCCCAGATGCAACAAAATGAAAAATACCTCCCTGGTGCACGGACCCAGTTTTTCTCCAGGGCATCTTATGAGGATGGTGTCTCTTAAAAACCTGCTAGATTGGGTACTGCTTTGATTCTGCTTGGAATGGTAAAAGGGGGTGGGGAATACAACCAAACAAATCTAATTGCAGGAAACAGGCATGGGGGAACCATGGCATTAAAGGGATATAATTAAGACCGCAGACAGCTGATAATTTGTTAAGAGTTGAAGTAGGTATGAAGACGCATCAGTTCCTGTGATATCCAGCCATCATTTCAAAGGTGCCTGCCATTGTCCTAAGTAAGCATTTTGCTCTGAGAAGGGCTAACAGTGTGGGTGTTGACTATGGTTAAGCCAATGCACCCTGAAATGTCTATGGTTCCCCAGAAAGGGCCCTCACATGAGCCCCTTCACCCTGCAAGAGGAGCAAATGAGCATTAAGTCACAACCAGACGGAGAGGGCACAGCAATGTCATTTTTTTAACATGCAAACTTTTTGAAGTGGAACATTAAGGTCATTAGTGTCATATCTGTTTGAAATATATTTAAAATATTCTAGCTGACATCTGTCACCCTCAGTTATTTAACATATGGGAAAGTTGACTCTGGTGGTCTAATGAACACTGTGGAAGGCATATCATTTCAAACAGTTTGGAATTAAATACCCAACAATTTACTCAGTGGAACTGCCTAGCGTATCGATTGTTCAAATGCCAATATTGCCATTCCAGACAATCTCGTGGTTATTATATCAGCTCCCAAAGGAACCTGAGGAACAAGACCTTCCTTCACAATCAGCAGAATAAAATATTATTGGTTGGGCCATTCAGGGGTGCAGGGAGAACTTGAGAGAGTAAACACTGGAAAAAGAAGTATCAGCTACAACAAAGTGAATACCCACCAGGGAGCTCATTTCATATATCATCGTTCTTGTCCGTGAGATGTGGAGCTGCGACTCTTTGATGCAAGTATGTACACCAATGGCACAAGCTTTCACTAAACATAACAAACTAGGAAAGGCCTTTTAATTCCCTTTAATTAGTTGAGTCAGTTTGAGGGCTACTCCCAGAAGGAATAAGAGAAGGATGGAGAGCACACCAAATAAGGAGTCTGATACACTGAGAAATAGTTTCACATCTCAGCGTGCTTATTGGAGGGAGGAACTTGTTGTTTCAAGAGATGCAGTACCTCTGCCAAAAATGGCAGTACTATGCCAATGTGGAGGAACGCTTATCCCAGTTGGCCAGCCAGTGATGTGTGTACTGGAGCAGAGAAGGGCTGTGGTGTGAAGAACTCTTACATGAAGTGAAGTGGAAAAGGTGGACTGCAGCATGCAAATGCTGCTTCTACCTGCAAACCCTTTCCCCTCAAAATGTCTAGATTTGCCTTGAAAGTGCGTGAAACAGAAGGTACCACTTAACAAAAATGGATGAACACGCTGGCTGTCGTGAGATACAAGACAGAAACATTTTCTTCTACATTGTCACCTGGCTCTGAAAGACCAGCTGGTACATTTAAAGATATGGTCATGCTTTTAATCTAGCAGGTTTCATAAACTCTGCCATTTAAGTAGACTGAAATGAGAATTCCAGTGCCATGTATATGAAAACTCTTTCAATAATCAACAGGCACACAGTATCAAAATAATTCAAAGGTTATCCAGTTATTTCTGAATTTTGTGTAATAGTTTTTGTTCTGGTAAGCAAAGCAGCAAGATCAATCTAATTAATTCTAGATAAACTGGCTAGTTTATAACCTATATTCAAAATATCTATTGTGAATAGGAGCCAACATGGAAAAAGCTGCTCGGTCACATTGGCATAGTTGTAAAGTATCTGAGGAGAAGGTTGAGGATGGAGGATCTCTTGAACCCAAGGATTTTCCATAAAACAATTGACTTGTTAATCAAGAACCTCAATGTCTTCACTGGCAAGCCTCTAATTATCATGCCATCAGTGTGTCACCCCCAGGTCACTCTGTATGGATAGTTATTTCATGCCCTTAAGCCATGAGGCTACTCATTCTGAAGTTCCATCCTCTCTATGGTAAATAATGAAATCAGGTGTTGTGAGAGGTCCATCTTGACAGCCACATGAGAATCACCACTACAGAATATATGCACAGAACAGAAAAGCTCCATTAGGTGTACGCCCCAAACTCTGTGAACCTTCCAAGTCATGAAAAAGGGCCAGGCAAGTCACAAATAGCCTACAATCCACAAACTTCTCATCTTAGGGTCCAGATAATTACGAACTTGGTTGCACATAAGAAACAGAACAAATACTTCAGAATTTGGCATAGTTCAATCTGATTATATGGCACGACTCAGGGGGTGTTACATCCTTTGCAAATACCCACCAAAATAACCTTGTCGATCTCTTTGGCTGGACACCAATGAAACATTCCTGTGGAGTCATATTTTTTCACATTGCAATCCATGTTGTCAACTTGTTCGTTGCCAGGTATTAATAAGGGGTCGTGTCTGAAGAAGAAAATAATGTCAAGGTTAGTATCAGCGGAAGTCATCTCAAGGAACCGTGCATGTTATAAGTGTTCACACACCTGCATTCAAGAAGAGAACGAACAGATGAGATTAGCTTTAAATCTGAAGTAATGAGTTAATAGGTCTCCAGGAGAGAAATAGTCTCAGAATAACCTTTTAATAATGATTACTGCCCAGAGAGCCTTGGCTATTGGACAGTGTGAAAATGAATTTAAATAAATAAATAACACATTTTTTAGTTACGTTGGTTTTTCCATCACTTGAGAAACACAAATGTCCTTCCATCATTCTCCATGCCAGGTAAACATCACGAAAGGATCTTCTGGTATCAGCAATGAGGTCAAAAGCATTGGCCTGGAGCCCACATGTCAACGAAGGAGAACAAGGCCAAGTGCTTGCTTTTACTCCATACAGCTTCTGACATGACGGTCTTTGAAGTAAAAGCTTTAACAGGATGCACTTTAAATATTTTAGCTATTTGCCCAATCGTATTTTGCTTTCCCTAACTGAAGCCCTTTAAAGATTCAGCAGTGTGTCATTTTACAGCAAGCTAAGTAACAAATGTCCACATTGAAATCACATGATGTTAGTACTAAGGAACAACACCGATCTCTGTGAGGGTTGTAGTACCTGTGGCAAACGTCCTGCATGACAACAAGAACAATATGCTTTTCAACTTTATGTATTGAAGGCAAACCAGGAGCAAAAATGATTGTGAAATCAGCTTCCACCTTCCATAGCTCCTAATCCCAGCATGCATTGATCATGCCTTCTTGAATGTCCAGCTTGAATGAAGTCGCACAATTTACTAGTCTTTGCCCACTCTGACATCTCCATGCCCAAGACAGGTTCGGCTCAGAAGGAAGATGTAACAGTAGCAGGAGTGCCTACTTAATGCTCTTCTGCAAGCCAGTTTGCTCCCTTGGAGTTGAAGCGAGGTGGACTGGCACACACATTTTGGAACAGTGCTCTGGAACCCTGAACTCCTTGGAAGCTTACCAGGGATGTATTGAGATCTTCAGAGCAATCTCTGTCCATGCTATTAGGAGGGAGTCATTTCTGCTCCCCAGTTGTGTAGTGCGACACCACTACGAAATACAACTACACCAGTTGGTGCCAGGTATTTTAATCTGGGCATATCTGATACCCTGTTTTAGTTTTGCTTCTCTTTGAGGATAACAGTGATACTGTTTTCATATCTCTTTTATTTTGTGTGGCTAAGTTGCTCATTATTGATGTTCATTATTGATGTTTATTTTGCATGGACAATTGGTCATGACTTTGTCTGTTTCCATAGCCTTCATAAAAATGAAGGGCATTTTAGACATTTTCAAGAAAAAAATAAGTGAAATAAATTGGCTTCTTCAATAAGATCAGGAATGGTGGAGAACTTGCCTATGCTGCCAACCATTATGAATTTCCTTATGCAGTGTGCCAACCAAGAGGCGTTGGGTGACTACCCAAGCTCGGTTCGTGCAAGCCAAACTGGCCTGGCCGGTGTTCCATTTTTTCTTCAGAGAACTTACTGGTGGGAAAAGTATTTCTGCTGCTGGAAAATCTGAAGCCCCCCTATTTGGGGAGGGCCCTTCCACCCTCCCCATCTCTCTCGCTGTCCCTCCAACGCCACAGAGAGATAAAGACACAAAAGGTGGCTGACGTGGCCGGCTCAGTCAAATTTGTCCAAGAGAAGATTTTTTGGTTGAGCCGCGAGGAAAAAGGGAGGATGCCGCCCAGTAGGTGGAGGAAATTATGGCCGTGGTTGAGTGGGGCGCATGCCCCGATAACGTAATGTCCGTAAATCACTCATACATGCTGCTCAGACACATGGCATGAAGCTATCAGGAAAAGTCTATACAAAGTTCTTTTTGTACATTTGATGCGTAAAGCCTGGGAATCTTGTAAATCTGTGTACATTTGGCATTTTGAACGGATGTAAATAACGGATGGGGTACTTTCTATTTTTGTAATGTTGCAATTTTTGGGCCTTTTTGTACCTTTGTAGTATGTTTTTATTTAAATAAAAAATTTCAACCTAAAAAAAAAAAAAAAAAATTTCAACCTCCCCATCTCTCTAGCATGCCCGCACAATATACTGAATGGGGTTATCCACAGTTTAGCTTTTTCCATCAAATGTAATGTAGCTGGAAGAAACCTGCATTCTCGCACAGGTGCAAAGTGAGAGTTTCTGGAAATCTTTAGCAAAAGGTAGGCGGTGTGGGGATCACTTGCTTAAAATTAAGTTCATTATTTTAACCTTGATGGTCAGCAGCAGTAGGTTTTTATTACACAGGCAATATCCACACTGTGGTGCAAGGAAATAAATAGAAACCGATTGTATGTGCTTTAGAAAAGCTACCAAACTACTTTTCTCACATCTATATCTCTAGCCATATAAATAGCTTCTCTGTTCTTATGGCAAAAATTATGTGCGCTTGAGTTAAAGCGTAGAGGAAAGTACAATCTTTTCAGGGTTTTGCGGAGCATATAATGCCAGTTATCATCAATTAAACTCAAGAGCGACACTAAATGCCATGCTACAGCTGCAAACCCAAAAAGCCTGCCTCGAAGACAACAGCCTAAAGCAAAACCACAAATCCCTTTTCCAGCAAACCTGCTGTGAGATAGCCGACATTATATTTTAAAGAGCACTGTGCCCCTTGCAGCCATTTACAAGTACTCTAAACACATGCAGTTGCCGTTTTCAACTTTGGAACTTCTTCTGGCTGACCTGGAAATGGAGGGAGAAAATCAAGAGAACAAGAATGACTTGCTCCTTTTTTAATACTGCCATTTAATTTCATTTATTTGTTTGGGGTTTTAAATTTATTTTCAGTTTCAGCCTTCTGAATCTGGAGATCCTGTTACTTAAAAACAAGGATAGCCAATTCGGCCTCTGGAGGTCCTACTAAATTTTAATCAGGGCATGTAAAAAGGTTTCGATCACTTCGAGTGAAAGTGAGCCAACATATTATGCAAACTGCTCCAGATTAGAACATTCTGTTTTGTAAATTCTGTTTGCAAATAGTTATTTAGAGACATGGCCCAGTTTTGCTAGGGCTACAGTTCTATACAGGCCTGCCTCATGGAAGCCTTACATGAGTACAGGAATGGCACAACATTTATGAGCAGCTCCCGCCCAGTATGAAAGAATATCCCACGGAAGTTTGCCTTGGCTTGACAGATCACCCCATGGGAGGCAAAGGAAGACGTTGCTGGATTTGCTCTCTCTTGCACTAAGGTCTACACTGCTGCAGTTGCCATGTGACTTTCCGAATTCCACACAGGCTCCATCCACAGCTGCAATGCACCCATCCATGGCCTAAACCAGGGCATGCTTCTGGTGTCTCTGTTTTAAACTTGGCTTTGCTGCCTCAAGAGTGCTAGACTGTGTGTAACCTGTTTCTAAAGGAAATCTTCCACATCTCCACCTCTTTGGGCAGTACATGGACACGATCCAATGGTGAATGCTCTGTATTAATGAAACTGTGTTAGGCAACTGTGGCTAGCTTTACTGATTTAGCGTGCTCTAGAGTCCGGTCTCCTGTAAGGGGATCTGAGTTGCCCCAACCCTGGGGGTTACTCCTGAGGATTCTCTCAACTTGAGGCATTCTATGGCCACGCTCAGTCTAAAGTTGCATGCTGCGGCCCGTCTTCTGTGCTGATGTTCTATCCGATCCAGAAAAGCACATGGGCTCTGCATGTGTGCGCTAAATTTCTCTGGAATATAAGATGATATAATATAATGTAATATCATATCGCATCATGTATCATATATAAATAAATAAATAAATAAATAAATGTAACATATTCAGTTACTTTGAAGGGTGGGGATAAAGATACTTTCCTGAAGCTAAGTTGTTCTTGGTCTAGTAAATGATGGGATGGAAGACCAGGCACAAGCCAGGAAACCTATGGAAGCCACCTTAAATTCTGTTAGGGGGAGAAAGGCACTATATATATATATATATATATATATATATATATATATATATATATATATGTGTGTGTGTGTGTGTGTGTGTGTGTGTGTGTGTGTGTGTGTGTATGTATGTTGCCTTATATATTTCTCTCTCTCTCTCTCTCTCTCTCTCTCTCTCTCTCTCTCTCTCTCTCTCTATATATATATATATATATATATATATATATATAATTAATTAATTTCAGGCAAGGTAACAAATGCAGTGTGGTCATTCTGGCTCTCTCCCAGAGAACCCTCCTGCACTGTCTTTACCGAAATCGCGATTTCCAGTGCTTGTTATCACCCTCCAGCAGCACAAAGAGCACTCAGTCCCGTTCCGCTAAGGGAATGCTGAGGTCCAGAGGGAGTGGGAGAGGATGCTTCTGCATCACACCCGTGTTGCACCCCCAGTGCTGCCAAGCCCTCCTGTGACAACCAGATTAGGTCTCCTGTACCAACAGCCAGGCTAGTTTCTACGCACTGTGGCGGCGACGGAGGCAGCATCCTGTCTCACTGGGGAAATGCAGCATGTGGGACGCATCTGCCTGACAGGATTCCGTGCCTGCTTTTCTGAGGACAGAGCACTGCATGCATTAGATGACTGCACAGTACCCGCATCGTGCTGTCCAAGGGACGGGAACACTTCGGTGGGAAGAACAGCAGGGAGGGGAGTCAGAAGCATGGCTTGCCCCACCTCCAGGCTCCAACCCCCTTTCTGAAGCAGCGCACGTGATGAACATCCATGCGCAAAGCATGGGCCACTCGTGCAGTGGGGGAGCGCCCCTCTCCCTCATGTATTAGTTCCACAGCCTTGTGAGAGCATGAAGTAAGTTGCTGCCTCGTTCCTTGCAGAGAAATATTTCAGCTGCCTTCCGAGAGGGTAATTTGTGTGCATGCGTGGAGTGGGGAAAATTTGGCTCTGCAAATGTTCAGTTTCTGGGTTGCATGCACAGAGTGCAGCAATGCAGGTGAGGGGGGGTCAAAGTGGAGGGGGGGCCAAGCGCAGCCACATCTCCCTGCA